AATGTGAATTTGCAAGGGTGCAAGAGCCATCCCAAAAAGACATTGAAAGAGCATTCGGTGTTTTGCAATGTAGGTTTGCCATTGTCCGTGGTCCTGCTCGTTTTGGGGATAAGAAAACATTGAAAAATATCATGACATGTTGTGTTATCCTTCACAATATGATTCTTGAAGATGGGAGAGGAATGAACTTGGAATTCATTTACGGCAATGTGGGTAGCCGTGTCAAACCAGCTAGAGACCCTAACCGCATTAGAGCTTTTCTTCAGACATACAAGGAGATTGAAAATGCAGACACACATTTTCAACTTCAGGAGGATCTCATTGAGCATCATTGACAAAGGGCTACAGTGACTCCTTTTTGTATTCATTTGTATTTGTACTCATCAAAAGTTTTGTATTGCATTATTTAAGATTGTTGTATTGTGGACGATTGTTGTATTGTGTTGAATTTGAATAATTATTTAGTTTGCTTCCGTTTGTTGTATTATGCTGGATTTGATATATTTTTGCGGGCTGATGAGATGCGGAAAGCAGCGGTGCAAGAGCAGACACCGCAAGCCGACCCGTATAAGAACATATTCGACGAATATACTTTTATACGGGTCCGTTTGGGGGGTCTACATCTGCGGCCGTCCTTGTCGGCCCGCAAAAGCCGTTTTCCGCGAACTGCAAACGCGTTTTGCGGGCCGGCGGGATGCGGGGTCTGCTAGAGTTACTCTAAAGTCCGGGCCATAGAATATGGATTCTACACTTTGGCACTGCTCCATAGTCTGTGGGGTAAGAATTACGGCGAGTGGTGTCAAACTTATACACCGTAGTGGTGGATTTTTTTTTTTGATAAAAGAGAGCTTCTCTCTTCGATCTACATTAATAGAAATCACAAAGTCTTACAGAAAGGAAAAGAAAAGAAAACTACTAGTAAGCAATCTCCAAAGGATACCATTGAGGAAGAGGGGGAAGCCATCCCTTCCCCCCATTAGCCCCCAAAGCAGAGCCTCAAGAGATCAAGGCATGGGCTCAGAAGCAAGTCCCAGCTCCAAACATACCAACCAAGTTTTAGACACCTGACATGAGAGGCATTAGCTTCCATCTAATAGGTATCATTACATCATACATTTTTATTCAACCAGAGAGCAAAAGACTTGGAGGTAGATGAGCACAGGGAAGGTCGATGAAGCTTCACAAGCATCCGCCAGTCGAGGAGGAAGGCGGGGAACCAGAGGAGCTTGAAGACGAGCACCCCATGATTCTTCTGGTTTCCAGTCGCCACCCATGCGCTACTTTGAACACTTCTTCTGCTACTTCGCCCACCTGCCTCACACCTGCCTCCATCATCCTACTTCTTCTGGGTTTTTTTTTGCAAAATATTCCAATCATGTAAATGTTTGAGGAACAGGTTAACAGGAATGCAGGGATAATTAACCCTGTTATTATCAAATACAACACCATTTCTCGGTTTCCAAATTGTCCACCAGATAGCAGATATTCCTATCATAACTAAGCTTTTCTCCTCCCTTCCAAAGGTCTTGACCCAGATTCTCATCACCATATCAAGATCTTCTGGTATGTCAGATAAATTGAAGGCACATTTTAAAATGTTCCATAGCAGTCGAGCTACAGAGCAGGAGAGAAAGAGGTGATTTATGCTTTCGTCACGTCCACAAAATGGACATTTTCCATCCCCTTTCCACCCCCCACGTAGCAAATTATCTTTTGTGAGAATACTGTTTCTAAGGGCCAACCACATAAAAACTTTGACTCTGGGTGGCATTTTAATTTTCCACATATGCAAATGTGGATATTTGATCCCATTTTCCATCATGTCTATAAAAGGACTTTACTGTATAGATGCCATTTTTAGTTAGTGTCCACTTAACCTCATCTTTTTCATTATTCAAAATCGTCAGGCTACAAGCATCTTTAATGTGTTCCCAAAGCTCTTTCGAGTCTCCTGTTAACTTTCTTCTAAAATGTATGTTATCAATTCCATTTTCCAAAATTTCTTTGACCGTTTTCTGTTTTTCAAAGCAAATACTATAGAGCCTAGGGAAGCTTTTGTTTAAAGGTGCAAATCCAATCCACCACTCTTCCCAAAAATGAATATTCTCCCCATTGCCTACTATGAATTTACACAGAGAAACAAAATGATCTCTATGTTTCAAGAGTTCACCATAGTGGTGGATAGTACTAATAGACACGGGAGTGGAAAAAACTGTAAAGCTAGGAATGTGGGGGCCAGTGATCCTGTCTCAGACGACTTGGCTTGGAGTTCTGTACTATGTAAAGTCCGGGGCCCTGGAATCTTGCTTGTGCACTTTGACACGGCTCCGCACTCCATGGAAATAAGACTTATGGTGGATGGTGTGGAACGTATATACCGTAGTGGCGGCCAGTACTCCGAGACGTAGGGGTGGAAAGAATGGGAAACCTGGGATTGGGAACGTGGGAGGCCGGGTGATCCTACTTCAACAACTTGGCATTGGACTTGTGTGCTACGTAAATCCTTGGGCCCTAGAATATGGATTGTACACTTTGACACGGCTCCGCACTCTATGGGCTAAGAATCACGGGAGGTGGTACACATGCACCATAATGGCGACCCTCCAAGATGCGGGGGTGAAATATGGTAAGGTCGAGATTGAGAACATGGGAGGTCGGGTGGTCCTACTTCAATGACTTGATCTTGGACTTGTGTGCTATATAAAGCCTGCAGCCTTATTGGGATTGTACACTTTGACACGGCTCTCCTCATGTGCATCTCTTCCTATATTTCCTTTTTGGTGCTCAATTATTTAAAGTGGAAAAATTATTGTACCAGTATAGGTAGCATGCATGAATCAATCTGTCTCATATGTGTTGCTTGAGAGCCTTTTGGCTCGCTGTGACTGCTAAGATTCCTTTTAAAAATCAGATATTTTTGTTGTTGATAGGTTTTTGCCCTTTTTCGATAAAGGGCGCTTTTTATTTACTCATAATATAGCATCGAGTGATACAAACACAATGAGCACACACCCGGCCTCTGCATAATTAAGATGCACACAGCCAACACTACGCACACACACAAGAATCACGTTGGTAAAGAGCAAAGTCATATAAGACCCAAGCCCTGCCTAGGTGAAGAATGAAAAAGAAAAATCCTGAAGTGATTAAAACAGCGATCGACGATATAGAACAACCACCATCGACACCATCCTTTTCTTTGACAACATAAGGACTACGAGAAGGGTTCTTCAAAAGCAACGCCTTTAACAAGGAAACAACACATAAGCGCCGTTGTCGCCAGATCCATTACCAAAGGCCAGATCATGGGTTTTCACCCTGAAGATTAAGTCCGAGCAAACTCCAAGCAATGCCTTCAACAAGGTAACGATGCAAAAACACCGTCATTGCCAGGTATAACCAACTAAGGTCAGACTTAGGATTTTCACCCTGGAGCTCGAGACCGGGTGCTCGAGAAGCACCACCCAACTGAAGTCATCCTAAATTATCTCCTCCACATTCCACAATCCCAGCAGCACAACAAGAAGCATACTTAGACGAGGGAGGATGGTCACATGCACCGCCCAAATCCTGAGGTTGGGACGATCTGGCGCACCTGCACCGTCCTCACAAGTGACAGCTGATGACCGATCTGCATGAGACAACGTCACCACATGCCGCCACTACCATCATCGTCGCATGTGGCAGCAGATTACTCCTGCGTGGAGGACACGGCCGCAGTTATGCATCACCGTTAGCGATGCAGATAGGTTTTTGCCCTATGAGGAACTTTCCTAAATGTAGGTTTTGTTGTTGATAGATTTTTGCCCTATGACATGTGTTTGCGGGCACATGCAGTGGCTTTTTTTACCAATGTGTTGAACTCACTCTTCCTTCTTCCCTTCCTAGACATTGTTCTCGTACTGATTAAGTTGTTAATGGGAAGGAGCAGAGCCCAGTTCAAAAAAAATAAAAAGTTGCATGAGAGGGAGAGATAAAGATGCAGTTGCGTGCAAATGAATATAGTACGAAGTCGTAGCAAGGCGACCGACCCGAGTGACGTCGGTTGCCCAATCAGAATTGTTACCCCACTATTTTACTCATGTAATACACGAACCAGGAAGGCATTTAGCCCACGACGTTGAGCAGCTCATATAATAACATGTTATCATCACACTCATGGCGTGAACACACGTTTGAGCAAATAGCCATGTGCTAGAGCTAGAACGAAGATATGCTGCAACAATCCAACAATGTAGTACTATTATGTACTCCCTCCGTCCGAAAATTCTTGTCATCAATATAGATAAAAAGGATATATCTAGAACCAATATACATCTAGATACATCCCCTTTTATTTATTTTGATGATAAGTATTTCCGGACGGAGGGAGTAAATACTTTCAGTTCAAAATTTTGGCTCCTCGCGTCAGTTATTTCCAAACAGGGGAACTAACTGACAAATTAAGCGGGCACAATTCACTTAGCCCACTCACTGCCAGCTAGCCGGACATTGGGCTACCGAGGCCGTTTATCCGGACCGCAGTCAGAATCCTGGCAAGATGCAGACATGTTTGGCGACCCTGTTTACCTGCTGCAGTGTTGCACGCATCCAGCTTTAGACATGGACGTCCAGATATTGCTGCACTGAGCCGGAATGCGGCCCGAAGCCTTTTTAGGAGGTGCTTGGATCCAAGGGACTATTTTTAGTCTGACTAAAAATAGTCTTTTTTAGAGGCTAAAGTTCCAAGCATCTCTGACTAAAGAGAGGCTAGGACTAGTCTTGAGGCTAAAATCTTTTAGTCATAAGAAACCTACTAAAATATGTATTAGCCCTCTCTCTCCTCATTTAATTCCTCTCTTTTAACACATGCGAGTTCTGGATTGGAGGGTTTTGAGGATAAATAAATGCTCAATATTGATTTTAGTCTCTTTAGTATTTGGATCCAAGCATGGGTGAGGCTAGCAAGTCTTAGTCCCACTACTTTTAGTCATGGGACTAAAACGTATCCAAGCACCCTCTTAGAAGCTACGGCGCCTAGTAATTTTAGCTGCAGTCTTCTTTCTGGCCGCAAGTTTTCTCCCACTGAGAGTTGCAGTCGAACGGATTTCGTCTATGAGATCCTGGTCCGTGGTATCCATGAACTCTGCAAAATCCTTGGGAATCTCGTACATCTTCCCGAAGTCCACGAGCAGCCTCACGCAGGTCCTCCTGAGCGCCGGCAGTCCATAGGTGTGTGCCGTCTGCAGCCTCTCCAGCACGTTCTCCGTGCTCACGTCCCTCCTAAGGCTCTCCTCGCACGCCTTCTTGAGGTCCGCGATGCCGTACTTGTCACCGGCCGCGAGGAGCTCGCTCCGGTGCGTGAGCAGCTCGTCCTCCGACGCGATGACACCGTAGAGGTAGCCGACGAAGGTCTGACATGCGTCGATCGACATGTCGGAGATGTCAACCGTGGAGAGCTTCTTCTCCTTGAGGTTGTGCGAGAACATCCTCAAGAACACTGATGACCGTGCGGCCAGAACGGCGCGGTGGGCCTTGATGCTGCCACCAATGGCGTTGATGGTGATGTCGGTGAGGATGCCTTCTCGCAGCATGCGCGCAAAACCAGACTGTGCTTGCTCCATTGACGTCCTCGTTTCTCTAGAACGCAAAACAGACTCTGGTTTGCCACGCTGTATAACAAAAAAAAGAAACATTTTACACTAGTTGTAATATATCTTCCTGCTTCATCACTGCTTTAAGGTTTCAATGTATTTAGAATTTTAGATAGTAGCAAACTCAAAATTCACACAATTGCTTTAAGGAAGAAAATGAAAATGAAGGAAAGGAAATATGAGTTTTACCCTAGTCATTTTGATAAACTCGATGTCAATCAAGCATCTTCTTGATTTACATTCATCGGTCACTGTCGATGTACAAGGACAGTTGAGAGGCACGCTAACCACTGCATGTGTGTGCTACTTGTTAGCAACGTTTGAAAAAATCCACCCATGTTAAAGAGTAAAGACGTACATTAGCAAAATAGAGTGGTTTGTAAATACCAAATGTGCACCAATATACTTGGAAAAAGATACCCCCTCCAATCTGAAATTGACGCAACCTCTATGTTGGATCGGAGGGAGTACAAAGTTCGAAACACTATAAAAGTAAAAAAAAAAAATACAGTAAATTGTTCGAGGTTTAGGACCCTTGATTTGAAGTAAATATCACAAAGACATATCATAAGTACGAAATTAGAAACTATTATCCGCATTTGAGTGATTAAGCATGTTATGTGTTAAGGGACCTAGTTCACAAGACTGATCAATGCGTCTCTTTCTGGCAGGAAAGAGAAGGCTATTGGTAAATATCACCCCATACACACTCACAACAGAAAGGTGAACATGATTAGATTCCGATAGACAGACCCCATTCGGTTAAATTAATGATAAAAAAGAAGTGCAGTTTGCTAATTACAAACCACTTAGTCGAATGTTTAGTATTAAGTGTTGATAACCAACCGATCAAGATCCTCTCATTCTTTTTATACATGTACTCTTTGTTCTAGATCGGACGATACTAGCTATTCATCAATCGAATAGCAAAACCAAAAACCATATAGCAATACGTATAGTTTATCCTACAACCTTTTTGCAAACTACAACATTTTTGCAAAATTAATTCTTATATTTGTGAACCAAACCATAAACAGTTTAAAATTTATTTTTTCCGATTGCACAAAAGGGCATGATCATAGTGTACACTAGAAAATTTTACCTTCAAGATTTTGAACTACGCCCGGTCCAATTTCAGGAAAATGTATAAGTTTCAGGGAAACAACGGCAGCATATTTGTCAAAAGATCGTGAAGATGGCGAAAGCGTCACTGAAGTATGCCCATTCGCTCGGACTGCGGATAGTTGCCTACACAATTCAAATAGAACAACTACAAACCATATAATATTTGGAAAAAATATATAGAAACAATGCGTAATCATCGAATGCTGGGGGATACTAGCCCACAACAACAAACGCCATAGGATGCTCCTTTTGCACCGGACGGCTGTCCATGGTGTGCACTTTAGGAATCTGATTAGTCTTGTTAAACACTTACAACAGCAGTACCACTGTCGTTCGGAAATCATCCTTGTAAGGATTATAACCCTAACATCCAAGAATATAAGTGTTCCGCTAGAAATTTTGTTGAAGAAGGAACATGAAGACAAAGAGGAGCAGCGGCAATACCATCTCCAGCTCCCAACATAGAAGTCTTCCTTGGATCTCTTGGTTTGCTCATCGGGTCCTAGCTCCAGCAGCACAAATCTTCCTTCAACTTCCACGTCGTTCCCCGGGGTCGATCTTGACATCTCTCGGATGGATTTTTTTCTTGTTCATAAAAGGCGGCGTGCTGTTGAGAGACGGCCGGTAACCCTAGAACTGGAAGCACCAAATTTCGAATGGCAGGAGGAAGGAAGCAGATGCCATCCAGAAACGGTTTAAGGGGTCCCTGCACGGTGATGTGCGGGTAGGTGAGTAAATTACGCGGTGGGGTTTGAGATAAGCGAGATATTGTTCCTCACTTGATGCTGAATTCGTTTCCTGGGCATCCTGTTTCCACGCTAATTCTGGTGCTGACTGCATTTAGCATTTGGCAAATGGTATTTTTGAGAATCGCATGAAAAATATTTATCGCCGACTAATTAGCGACCGAAATCTGCCCGCAGTTTTCTCTTCTTCGTTTTTTGCAAGTGTCAGAGTTGGCATCAAACAACGCGTGGCTAAACCCCAGCTTCCCCCCCTGAAATTTTAAACCAGCATCGATCTGAGGGGACGGGGAACATAGCGCGTGTCACAGCAAGTCTTTTTCGGTGGCCATAATTGGGGCTCCATATAATACTTTTTACAAGCACAGCATTTTCTTGGTTTGTCAATATCTTTCATCTGTATCCTCTCTCTGTTGCGCTGGTCTTGACCCTCAATTTTTTTTTCTTACTACCCATTTAAGTCATGTCCAATTTTAATTAAAAAGTTGTACTCCAGAAAGACTTTACACAAAAGCTGATTTGCTTGATGTGCCTTTCTCTGTGGAAACTGGCTGGAGCATTGAGTATTTGATTAAGAAAAAATGGCGGTTGCTTGGCTATGCTTTAGCACATAAAATGTTTTTTATCAATGATTTTTCTTACCGTCTGGCCTATACTTTTGATTGCTTTAATAAAGCACACTGTACTTTGTTAGCCAGGGAAATTAAAGGATTAAGATCTGATTGAAGAATTTCCAACTACTGACCAGCAACATCATCTGTAAGCAAACCACCACTGAAGGGATATCACAACGTCAAAAAAGAAGAAGAAGGGATGTCACTTTAGGTTTGAGTGGGGGTTTGGGAAGATTGTGAATATCGTAGCTTTCCAAAGAAAATTTGTGTGGTACATATATAAATTCAGGTTGTTATAAGACATTTTCCCCTTTAACAGTGATGTGTACCATTGATGTTAATCAATAGTTGAATGGAGATGCATCCTTGAATATTTTGTGACATTTTTGAATGATTCGGTATTTTTACACAATCTTATGGATCACATCTCGACGACACTTCCAGATGTGTTATGCATATTAAGAACAGATTACTAGTTATCTTCCCAAGAAACTTGATATGGCTAGGAAGATACTAGATGTGCTATATAAAAGAAATGATCATGAGGCTATGGTCGAGAGTAAGAGAATTCTGAAGGACATGGATGAGATGCTATATAAAGAAGAAACTTTATGGAAGCAAAGATCACGGATTGATAAAATAAAATGGGGGGATAGGAATACAAAATTCTTTCGTTCTAAGGCCACGTGGAGGGCTAAGAAAAATAATATATCTAGTCTCAAGAGGAATGATGGGACCATTACCGAGAATGTGGAGGAGATTCATGAGATCACTAATTCCTATTTTTAAGCACCTGTATAGAAGTGATGAGTTTGTTGATCCCTCTCTTATTATTCCTCTTGTGAAACCGCTCGTAAATGATGATGATATGAATAATGACTTATGCAAGCCTTTCTCGGACCAAGAAATCAGTGATGCTCTCTTCCAAATTGCCCCCCCTAAAAGCCCCAGGTCCTTGTTGGAAATATGCCCTAGAGGCAATAATAAATAAGTTATTATTATATTTCCTTGTTCATGATAATCGTTTATTATCCATGCTATAATTGTATTGATAGGAAACTCAGATAAATGTGTGGGTACATAGACAACACCATGTCCCTAGTAAGCCTCTAATTGACTAGCTCGTTGATCAATAGATGGTTACGGTTTCCTGACCATGGACATTGGATGTCGTTGATAACGGGATCACATCATTAGGAGAATGATGTGATGGACAAGACCCAGTCCTAAGCCTAGCACAAAGATCGTGTAGTTCGTATGCTAAAGCTTTTCTAATGTCAAGTATCATTTCCTTAGACCATGAGATTGTGCAACTCCCGGATGCCGTAGGAATTGTTTGGGTGTACCAAACGTCACAACGTAACTGGGTGGCTATAAAGGTGCACTACGGGTATCTCAGAAAGTGTCTGTTGGGTTGGCACGAATCGAGACTGGGATTTGTCACTCCGGTTGACGGAGAGGTATCTCTAGGCCCACTCGGTAGGACATCATCATGATGTGCACAATGTGACCAAGGGGTTGATCACGGGATGATGTGTTACGGAACGAGTAAAGAGACTTGCCGGTAACGAGATTGAACAAGGTATCGGGATACCGACGATCGAATCTCGGGCAAGTACAATACCGCTAGACAAAGGGAATTGTATACGGGATTGATTGAGTCCTTGACATCATGGTTCATCCGATGAGATCATCGTAGAACATGTGGGAGACAACATGGGTATCCAGATCCCACTGTTGGTTATTGGCCGGAGAGTTGTCTCGGTCATGTCTGCATGGTTCCCGAACCCGTAGGGTCTACACACTTAAGGTTCGATGACGCTAGGGTTGTAGGGAATAGATATACGTGGTTACCGAATGTTGTTCGGAGTCCCGGATGAGATCCTAGATGTCACGAGGAGTTCCGGAATGGTCCAGAGGTAAAGATTTATATATGGGAAGTCATGTTTTGGTCACCGAAAAAGTTTCGGGTGTTATCGGTAATGTACCGGGACCACCGGGAGGGTCCCGGGGGTCCACCAAGTGGGGCCACTGGCCCCAGAGGGCAGCATGGGCCAAGTGTGGGAGGGGACCAGCCCCAGGTGGGCTGGTGCGCCCCCCCCCCACCAGGGCCCAAGGCGCCTAGGGTTTGGGGAGGGGGCGCCCCACCTTGCTTGGGGGGCAAGTTTCCCCCTCTCCCCCCTTGGCCGCCACCCTAGATGGGTTTTGGGGCTGCCGCACCCCTAGGGGTGGGAACCCTAGAGGGGGCTCAGACCTCTCCCTCTCCCCTATATATACTTGAGGTTTTGGGGCTGCCAAACACAATAGTTTCCACCTCTCCCTGGCGCAGCCCTACCTCTCTTTCTCCTTGCCTCTCGCGGTGCTTGGCGAAGCCCTGCTGGATTACCACGCTCCTCCATCACCACCACGCCGTTGTGCTGCTGCTGGATGGAGTCTTCCTCAACCTCTCCCTCTCTCTTTGCTGGATCAAGGCATGGGAGACGTCACCGGACCGTACGTGTGTTGAACGCGGAGGTGCCGTCTGTTCGGCACTAGGATCTCCGGTGATTTGTATCACGACGAATACGACTCCTTCAACCCCGTTCTCTTGAACGCTTCCGCTTAGCGATCTACAAGGGTATGTAGATGCACTCTCCTTCCCCTCATTGCTAGTCTCTCCATAGATAGATCTTGGTGACTCGTAGGAAAAATTTTGAATTTCTGCTACGTTCGCCAACAGTGGTATCAGAGCCAAGTTTATCGCGTAGATTCTATGCACGAGTAGAACACAAAGTAGTTGTGGGCATTGATTTTGTTCAATATGCTTACCGTTACTAGTCCAATCTTGATTCGGCAGCATTGTGGGATGAAGCGGCCCGGACCGACCTTACACGTACACTTATGTGAGACAGGTTCCACCGACTGACATACACTTGTTGCATAAGGTGGCTAGCGGGTGCCAGCCTCTCCCACTTTAGTGGGATCGGATTCGATGAAAAGGGTCCTTATGAAGGGTAAATAGCAATTGGCATATCACGTTGTGGTTTATTGCGTAGGTAAGAAACTTTCTTGCTAGAAACCCATAACAGCCACGTAAAACATGCAAACAACAGTTAGAGGACGTCTAACTTGTTTTTGCAGGGTACGCTATGTGATGTGATATGGCCAAAAAGAATATGATGAATGATATGTGATGTATGAGATTGATCATGTTCTTGTAATAGGAATCACGACTTGCATGTCGATGAGTATGACAACCGGTAGGAGCCATAGGAGTTGTCTTTATTTATTGTATGATCTGCGTGTCATTGAATAACGCCATGTAATTACTTTACTTTATTTCTAAACCGTTAGCCATAATAGTAGAAGTAACAGTTGGCGAGACAACTTCATGGAGACACGATGATGGAGATCATGATGATGGAGATCATGGTGTCATGCTGGTGACGATGATGATCATGGAGCCCCAAAGATGGAGATCAAAAGGAGCAAAATGATATTGGCCATATCATGTCACTTTTTGATTGCATGTGATGTTTATCATGTTTATGCATCTTATTTGCTTAGAACGACGGTAGTAAATAAGATGATCCCTCATGAAAATTTCAAGAAAGTGTTCCTCCTAACTTTGCACCGTTGCGAAAGTTCGTTTTTTCGAAGCACCACGTGATGATCGGGTGTGATAGATTCTAACGTTCACATACGACGGGTGTAAGCCAGATTTACACACGCGAAACACTTAGGTTGACTTGATGAGCCTAGAATGTACAGACATGGCCTCGAAACACAAGAGACCAAAAGGTCGAGCATGAGTCGTATAGTAGATACGATCAACATGATGATGTTCACCGATGATGACTAGTCCATCTCACGTGATGATCGGACACGGCCTAGTTGACTCGGATCGTGTAATCACTTAGATGACTAGAGGGATGTCTATCTGAGTGGGAGTTCATAAGATGAACTTAATTATCCTGAACATAGTCAAAAGATTTTTGCAAATTGTGTCGTAGCTCACGCTTTAGTTCTACTGTTTTAGATACGTTCCTAGAGAAAAATATAGTTGAAAGTTGATAGTAGCAATTATGCGGACTGGGTCCGTGAACCGAGGATTGTCCTCGTTGCTTCGTAGAAGGCTTATGTCCTTAATGCACCGCTCGGTGTGCTGGACCTCGAACACAGTCTGTGGATGTTGCGAACATCTGACATACACGTTTTGATAACTATGTG